TGCAAATGTTTAGCTGATTAAGGAAACGATGGCTGTTCTTCAGCATATTTAAGCCTTTTTAATTTCATTGCATTCTGATTTTCAATACATGTTGCAATATCTCCAGGTTGTATGTTAAGGGGTTATGAACTATTTATTGCTGTAACGTTTTTGTGGCGTTGCCACTGACTGAACAGCTGCAGCAAGTAAGATTGTACTGCTGTTTAACAATTTCTTCAATAACCTAGAAGAAAATTTAAAAATACTCTGAAGTAGTAGTGGTTAGAAAAGAAGTAAACAATGAAGAGGAGAGATTAATGTGAATTATTTGGCGAGGAGGTCATGTCACACGTTACACAGGAAGAAGGACTATGCTGGAATTGTATGATCCTAAAAATGATCCGGCGCATCAAGGTAGATTATAACTCCACATATGGCCTACACTGTTTTGTTAGGAACTAGCTAATCTCAATTTGGATGTGTAGGTAAAACTAATAATGGATTGGAAAGTGGTGTTACATCCAGATGCATTCAGTGAGACCAGCAGTGAGCAGCAGCATACTTGTTAGCATCATCATTTCAAAGGATGTTGGAAAAATCAGGAGATACTCAGGAAAAAAGCCCTTCTCACAGTTATTTTGTTCCTAAGGTCAAGATCTATTACTATGAGATTTAAGGAAGTCTTATTTTGTCTTGTTTAATAAAAAGGGGGGAAATGCAGAAATTAGTGAATTTGTGTCAGGTCACACAAAAGAGATACCATTTCAATATCTGGGGGAAAAGTGACAAAAGATTTAAGAACTGGAACTTGAAATCAGAGTAATTAAAATGAGTTACCTAGCTGATGATAGTAATAAACTGCTGGAACATATTTTTATTGGAATGATCACATTCCCACACTTCTAATAGTAGGACTACCTGCAAATATACATATTAATGAATGATGTTATGCCAGGTGGTTCTCCAGAATTCACTTCTTTCTCAGAGGTGTAGCAGGATCCTAAAAAAGGAATTTTCAGCCCAATTTCTGCTCTTAAAATAATGAGAAGTTTGGTGCATCCATTGTTACCACTCTGGTAGAAAACATTGAAAGAAAAGTGAAAAGTCTTCGTCCCCAGTGAGAGGAGTCTTTCCAATCAAATTGAAGAAAAGGGCACCTTTTCTTTCATGCACATATTTAATTTTAGTTTAAACAAAATCTTGTTGGAACTTGAGCTTTTGTGCCTGAAAGAAATGAAGCTTGTGAAGGGAGTTTAGGTGCACAGCAGAAAATACTTTCTGCAAGCATTATTGATGTAGCTGTTACTTTACATCCAATTACTGAAAGGAGCACATGGTTAGACAGCTTTATTTGTTGCAGAATCAATTTCTGCTTGACTTTTATTACAGGTAAGAGATTAAAAACAGCTCTGTGAAATGGTGGGAGGAATTCCCAAGTGCAATAGCAATGACATCATATGAGACCATTAAGCAAAGACTCAATTATTAATATCTAGTTCTGAAAGGTAGAGGAGGCTTTGAACTTGCTGTAGTCTCACAGCCGTAGCACAAAGTCCTTTAAGCATCACGGTGCTTGTATTCAGTGTTTTTCTCCACTCATTATTTTAATAACAGACATTAGGATTTTACACTTCAGTAATTTACTACTGCCATGAATATTGATAAGGAGGAGGTGTGGAAAGTGCATCTCCAAGCAACTGCTCTGTTTCTGTTCGCACTGATCCTCTAGAGTTTTATTTAACACTTTCAGCAGATAAGTCTGGAAACTAATATTTATTGGATATAAAAATTCATGGTGCTAATGTATTAGTTTCATGGCCTATTTTGCATTTCTCATGTCTTTTCTCCTGGTTAACTTTGCAGTTGCAGAGCTGTTAGGAAAAAAATGTCACTGGGAGGCACTGTGTGGTCTCTGTACTGCCTTCCTGACCCCTGCACTGCTCCAGAGGCATGGACTAACCACCCATACCCATCCTAGTTATCTGCATCTAACTAAACTCAGGAATTTGCATTTGGTTGCAATTCATTCTTAAATCTGCTGCTTCAGTTTCTCGTGTAGCCTGATGAGGTTTTTTTCCCCATTTATATTGTTTAGTTTAATCAAATACTGCTACTATTGCAGCTGAATTTATGTATAATCTGTGTATATAATTATATCTACATATACCTGGATACACATATGTATATATTTATATATGTTTTTGAATGCATGTGTATCTCTCAGGGAATTGGACTCTTGCAGTTAAAATGCTCAAAAGACTGATAAATGTGTCTGGTTTCAAATTTGAAAACAAAGCTTTTAAATTAGTTCCTTAACACACTTTGTGCTAATGTTAGCTCCTGCATAGCAATAATTATTGCTGTGTGTATACAACTGTTAGTCTGTAACACTTCCCAGTCTCTTAACACTAAATTCACTGTGCCTACACAGTACCTTGCAGCTGCTGCTGTACAGCTGGCACTGGTGGCCGAGGTCCTCTCAGTCTCTGGTGAAGGTGATGAGGCTGGAGGGCTCTTAGAGAGAGGAAATGTCTCTCTTAATTTCTTCCCTCTCATTGCTGGTGTTTCCTGCTTCTTGGCCTCCTTCCCCTGGATTCAGCTGCTTTTTAGCTTGTTTAGCTTTTGCCAGTCATGCTTCTCGTGCCTTGGGCAGGATGCCCTGCCTGTTTTCCTTCCCATGTGCTTATTTTGGTCTGTATCTTGTAACTTCTGTCGTTTGTGTGCCTCCAAAGTGCAGCTGTGCTCACTAGATGACGTGCTTGTACGTAGTGTTGGGCTGTGCCTGCAGTAATTAGTATTACAGAGTATTTGCATGATGGGCATTCTGCTACTTAAGTGTGCTTGCATTTGGGGTTTGGGCAGGCTAATTCTAACTGCACTTTTCTACTTCACTCGCTACACTAGCCACAAGTCTTGCTCTTTGTTGCTATTATTTCCAATTTCAATAGAGAAAGGGAATAATCTCAGATGGCTAGAAGTTCAAGACACATTTAACCTCAGGATGGCAATCTTTGTACTTAGAGAACCAGATTGGGTGGATCTTTTTTGATGTCAGAACGCATCATCGTTTGGTCAACACAGGGACACTTCCCTTTCTCCATTTATCCCATCCCAGGACTTTGTGTGGAGCTGGCCTAGGCTGTTGTTCTGAAGCACACAATCCATAGGGAATTTGTTCAGCATATTCCTGTGCTGTGGCTGTAGGGCTGACTGGACTGTGCCCTTGTGCCACTGCATTGCCCAGCTGAGTGCAAGCTGTAGATGCTAAAAACAGTCAAGCAGAGTCTGCCCTTGTTAGAGCATCAAGGGAAGGGTTCTTGGTTTTCTTGGAAATACTTAAATGTTCTGTTTGTGGACAACATTTAACCCATCTTGAACATGAGTTACTATTTTGTTATCAAAAGTATTTTATTGTTTTCCATGTCATTTTGGAAAGATGCTGAGGGGGAGACCTGTGTTCCAAAAAGGACATAAAATTGATTTTCTTTGTCTCTCAGAAAAAAGGCAATGCCACACTGTAAAAATTGAAACAGAAAAGGCCAGGGGGAAAATTTTTTTTCTATGAGGAAGCATTTTCTTACTGGTTTTGAAATGCAGAATTTTTCTAAGAAAGGCTCAAATATCATTTGTGGCTTTGAAGATGAAATATTCCCCTCCAACTGGATTCTGTCTACAAGCTGGCTGGCTGAATGTTGCTGTGGTACAGGAGGTGATCTGTTACATCTTCCTGCTTTCTGAAATGTCCAGGCAGTGAAGGTGTAAAATGATTTCTGCTCTTGAAGGTTTTTTTGGTTTTGGTTTTGTTTTTGTGTTGGTGTTTTTTTTTTGTTTGGTTTTGGTGGTTGTTTTTTTTTTTTTTTGTTGTTGTTTTGTGGTGGTGGTTTTTTTTGGTGTTTTTTTTTGGGGGGTGGTTTTTTTGTTTTGTTTTTTTTGGGTTTTTTTGTGGGTTTTTTGTTTGTTTGTTTGGGGTTTTTTTGTGGTTTTGTTTTGTTTTTTTTTTAATGTGTGTGCAGTGTTTATTTTCTGGCTGGGGCATCCTGCCTGGGCTTCAGGTAACATAAACCTACTATACAGACACAGCAATCCTGTCTCTCTGTATTACATGAGATACAGTTGGGCTTCTCAAAGTTTAGGTTCGTTTAAAGATTTAGTGTTATTTCAGCATCTTCCAGATTACTCCAAGTAACCCAAAACTGATCATTACAATACAGGGCTGGTCTACTGGATAAAACAAATAAAACCGTCACAAAAACAGAATAAAAACAAAAACAACAAACACTAAACAACAACAAAACACCAAACAAACAAAAACCCAACAAATTACAGCCTCTAGTTAAATGAACAGTTTCCTGGATGTAACTGGATGTTACAGTCTTACCAGTCATTTTTATTAGGTTATGTACATAGAGGTAAGTGGTACAGTGAAATCTGTGAGCTAGAGGACAGATTTCAAGTTCACTTCTTTTGCAGTCATTGATTTGTCAACTGAAAAAAACTGGCTCAGCTGACTATTGAAAAAAGCCAATGCATTGGGATACAGATAATTTTAATACATTTTTATACATCCTATACAAGAGAGATTGAAAATTTAATTACTTGCTAGTATTTCCAAGTATTGATTTCCTTTCAAGCTATCTAATTTCTCAATAACCAAGATTTAGTATCTTACATCAATTATTTATTATGGTTTGAAAAGTGGTTGAAAATGATTGTTTGAGTCTGTGCTTATGTTCTTTGAAGGCACAGCTGAACCCTTGGGGGAAACTTATTTTGTTCAATTATTTGCATGAAGGCAGCAGCATCCTGTAGCCTTGAAATATTAAGCTATGTACATTGAGATAATCTTCATCTTTACAGGATGAAGGATCTTGATTTTTAGCTCTATAGGCCATCTTGCAGTATAAAATGTCTCTTTGCACTGTAATTTATAGGGGAACCATAGTGAGAAAATAAATATCGATGAGTGTGATAATAGTTAAGTTTACTGTTCATACATTTTCCAGAAGTGTCTCTGTTGCTGCTCAGTCTTCTATTTTCAGTTTAAATTCCACTTTGCCTTCATACGGATCATGAACATTGAAGGTAATTCCAGCTCCAATGATTTTGCACACTATTTTAAACTCTACATTCCTCGTAATGTTGAGAAATTTCACAGCTACCAAGGGATTGCTGTAGCTGGGCTAGGATGAGAAATAAAAAAAAAATTAAAAATAAAATACTTAAATTTTACTCTGCCAGTTTGAAAATAGCCTCTCCAGTTCTCATAGGATTGCAGAGGTGCTCCGTATGTTTCACCTGACATAAAGAGAAAGAGAAGTTAAGTAGAGAAGCACCCACCTGGGCTTTTTTCCCGTAGTAGGGGAAGTAGTGCAGGTTGAAGGTGCCATTCACAGGGTAGTAGTCTACGTCCAGCGGGCGAGACTCCTCACCCTGCATGTAAAAGGAGAGGAAGAAGCTCCGTGGTGAGGAAATAAATCACTGGCCAGCCCCGGGCAAGAGTTTCAGGGCTGCTAAGTGTGTGTTAGAGCTCAAATTCAGCAGGCTGTTTAGCACCAGTCTTATTTTTCAAATAAAAGTGGGAATATCCTGCTGTTACTATTGCCAAGAAAAGCAGGGAGTGTCCCCTGATGCAGCTGGGAATTCAGGGAGATGGAGCTGCTGAGGTGTGACCAGCATTACAGGGAGCTGAAAGCAAATGGCAAATGTTCTCTGCAGCCCGAAAATGCAAATTTTCAGGTGATTTAAAATAAAGCAGACTTGGAGGTTTTTTCCTTAGCATGTCAGCTGGTGCAAGAACTGGCACGGAACTGAGAATATTCCGAGTATTTGGGATCTGATTTTCAGAGCTGCAATGTTTTTTTCTGATCCCTACTGCACTTGCTTGCTCTCCAAGCTGCAGTGCTTGCAATGTGTGAGACCCAGCCCTCATACCCTTACCACATATGTGCAGTTCACCCTCGGTGCAGTGCCATTGCCAGGGTAAAACTTGATGATCTGAAAAAAGAAAACACCTTTGGTCATCTTGGAAATTGTTTTGAGATAAAACTGGGCAATCAATTATTTGAGAGCTGCGCTTCAAAGGATGTTTAATATGTTCCTGTGTAAGACTATCTCCAACAAATAATCTCATTTATGTAGGTGAGAAGCTGTTGTGGCTGGATATTTAGGAAGTCGGATTCAGCATTACCTGGGATGAGCACTGCTGACAGGCTCTGGCCTGGCCAGAACAAGTAGCACTGCACCTCCTGTGAGCCCAGCTCATTTACCCACCCATACCACCTGCCCTTGCAGCCAGGGGTCTCTTAAAGCAGTTAGTTGTGTGTCAGTAAAGGAAAAGCTGAATATCCATGCTTTTGATCTTATCTGTCTTAGAAAACCTTGGTTTTGGCAGAAATGTCCTTGGTTTTGGCAGAAATATCCTTGGGTTGGTTTGATGCTACAAAACTAGTGGGGTTGCATCCTGTAGAGGCAAAAGTCAAGGAGGTGAAGCCCCCTGGTCACTATCCACATCTTTTCCCTGCTGGGCATGGCACCCAGTCTTGCTAAAGAAGGAATTTCTGGAAAATGCTTGTTTCACCAGCCAGAGTCAGGGGTGCAGCTCCCCTCTCGGTTAGGGCTTGCACAGATTTTTGGAAATGCCTAAGGTGCAAGCCAAACAAAACATACAGTGGTTTTGTCTATAAGAAACTGGAGGGGAACTTGAGCTCTTCAGCTTCTAGTGAAAAGGAATCAGAAAGGTCAAAATTTCACCCAAAAAGAAATATAAAGTGCTTATTCCTTTGTCTACACCCTGGAAAAAATTAAAGTATTGAAAATTCCCTTTATTCCTCTCCAAAAAAACATGTTGGTGGTTTGCCCTGAGAAAAATATCCACTAGGTTTGAATTTTGCTTTTATAGGTTCTTCTAAAGATTTTCTTTGGCACCTGGAGAAATAAGATATTATCTCTCTGAAAGCACATCAGTTACTGTCACATCCTGGTGCCTCAGCTGAAGGCACAGGGCTGTGTGGTATTGCCGGAGGAAACTTTTCTGGTGCTAGTTTGTGGGATGAGAGGCACAAACTGAACTAAACTAATCTAAGCTGTAGGAGTCAGTTCAGAGATCCCTGCCCTATGTTACTTTTGTAGGAATGGTGAAAAAGTGTGAGGATTTCCCTGGTCACTCGAGTGGCCTGTCAGGGAACAGTGCGTGATTTTTGCTTCCCGATAGAAAGCACAGTTTAGAACCCATGGTAGAGACACAGCAGCTCCCCAGCTCAAGCTACTCTTGATTTTTTCTGCTCAGCACCTTGAACTTGTACTTACCCTGTTCATTTTTATAATAAAACAGGGTTTTCCTTCTGGATATCCAAAAGTTGGATCTGTGATGCCGGAGCAGTTTTGAAGCATGTCTGAGGTGAATTTGCAGGATAGTTTTGTTTTATTTGGGCCATCAAAGGTGTCCTGGATGAAGTAGGTATTATTGGTGCAGTTGATGTTCAGATGTTGAGCAGCTGGTGTATATGCTGGATGTGTGAAGGAAGAAAGAAAAAAATCCCCTCTGAAGCTATTCATATGCAAATTGTACATCACAACATCAGGCTGGAGATTCTGTCATGGGAGACTGTACTTCAAGGGAAGTTGGGATTAGATAGAGCAAGGAAAGTTTAAACTGTTTAGGGGTTTGGTTCAGTTTTGTTGTGGTTTTTGGTGGGTTTTTTTTGAATATCCAAGCAAAGCAAAATAAAAGAGATCGAATTAAGACTGGCAGTTTGTGTTGACAGCGCTATATAAAGTCAATCTCAAATATAATTTTTCTCAGTATGTGTGTGAGAAACATGAAGAATTATAATATTAAAGCTCAATAGGAATATAAACATGCTAAGACATGAACAGGCAAATGGAGCACATAACCTATTTGGACTGTATTCCCTGAAGACACCATGCTTTATGAGATACATTATGGCACTTTGATGTTTGTAGTCATAGACAAATTAATTAGATTAATTTAGAGGCTAATTTTGAAGACCTTTTGTCCTCCCTCTTCCTTCAGACTTTCTATTGGTCTATTTCATTAAGGCTGTTTAGGATTAAAGAAAGTAAAAGCCCTAAAGCAGCCTGGATTTTAATAGATGTGTTTGATTTATAGATTCATGAGGCGATTTGCTCATTCCTTTCAGAAGATGCACTTTCCACTCAAAATCTGTGATTTGAGAAGGACAAATGTAAAACGGAAGAACTGACTTAAGGTCCTCAGATCTAATATTGGAAATAAGGCAGCATCTTTCTTCAGTATTATGCAAGAAACTTCATTTTTACCTGTCAGAAAAGTGTGAAGAGTTGTCACTAAGCCTTCCCAGGTTTTGTTGTCCGATACGTTGTAATAAATTTTTAGTCCTCTATCCCCATAAACATCCGGCCGTAAGGTTACACCTTCAGGAAGAAGAAAGGTGAAGACAGAGCAGAGGAGAGGTGCCAGGCACAGTTTGTTTATTTAAATTGACAGTACAATTATGCTGCATCAAAATTCATTCTAAGTGTGCAAGATCCTCCAGCCTTTTTGGGGAGGATTTAACCATGCTCAGAAACCACCTCAGGTGTGAGTTGGTCAACTAAAACCCTAAAGCCTGTGCTGCTGCTGAATTATTTTCTTTTCACATGCTGTTACAATAACAGCTTGTAAAATCATCCTAGCAATTGCACTGGATTTCCCCAGGACTTCTTAGCAATAGCAGTCACGGTGGGTTAAAGAAACAGATCATACAGCAGCATGAGAAACAGCTTTGAAAAAGCCACACATAATATGTCACAGGAATTATTTTCCCAGCAAACACCAAACTTGCTAAATACTGGGAGTGGAAAATTCGAAATATGAAAGCATCTGGCAGAATAATTTTTAGGGCTATTTTTTCCCCTCCCATTGTGGAAACAAGCCATTGGGGTGTGAAGCTTTAGCAGTGTGCATTTATGGTCTCTGATCATCTCCCCTATCTCTTTTCATGTCCCACAAATCTGAATTCCTAATCCCACATCTTCATTTTATTTTTGCTTTCTTGACTACTGGCACAGCACATCCTGCTAGCAAGGTATTCCTGCTCTCCCAGGGACTTTCCATGATGCTGGCAAGCATGGAAATACCCCAAGCTGCTCACCCCATTGCCTCTGCATTTTGCTGGGCACCCCAAAGCCTTCTGTGGTGGCTGGGGAATTGGAGTAGAACCTAGGATTTCCCCGGGGACTGATCCCTGCCCATGGGGAGAGAAGGTGACCTGCTAGAGGCAGGCACAGATTGTCCCAATAGCAAGACTAAATAAATGAATATATATATTCATTTTTCATATTATATATTCATAAATATATGAATATATAACTATATCCATATATCAATACATAAATAAACATGCCAGATTATTTTTTTTTAAAGCCCGAAAGTGTTTTCAGGCAGAGGTTAAACTTTGCAGGGATCGCCTGGGCAGAATTGAGCTGATGTATTCCATGTTGGTCTCCCCTCAGCCCTGGGCTCTGCCAGTGCCTCTCAGCCCAGCCCAGCCCAGCCCTAAGCAGCTGCCGTGGGGCCCTGGTAGTACCTGGGGATTTCAGCTGGTCTTGGTAATCCGGCTCGTAGGGATTAATGGTCCTCATTAAACAATAAATGGAGAGCGCGAACAGCCCCGACATCACCACGTAGAAAGCCAGGTAGTAGAGGCTGATCCACACTGTGGAAAAGAATAAGGGCAGAATTTCAAATCTTGAGCAAGGCTGTTCAGTGCTCTCTCTGCAGCCAGGATTTTCCTGGCAGCAGCTGCTGTCTCCTTGCCACCCTTGTCCCCAGGGAAGTTCTCCCTGTAAAGGGACAGGTGCTTTGGAGCAGTTTCTCTACACTCAAAAATACTCTTCTAGAAAAAAAATTGTATAGTTCTACAAGGATTTTTGGAGGAGTTGGTGCTGAGCTCAGATTATTTAAAGCTTAAAGGTTATGTGGCATCTTGAAGTGATTTCACATATTAAGACCATTTATCTACTTATTACACATGGACTAAGTGACACAGATGATGAGGTGTTTCTTTGACAAACCCAAGTTGCTGTGTTATTTGGATGACAGATGACAATACTTCAGGCATGTTGGTTTTAGACCTGTATAATTTCACTGCCTTATACAGCTGAAATCACCAACAGCAAAATTTGACATCTTGCTACTTTATTCTGCTGTGAGATAGTATAAGATTAATGTTGTGTTTCTGTCTGTATGTGCATAAAGTGTCTTACATGTGGCTGTACTGGTGTTTGTTTCAGAGGGGTGCTATTAGAAATCTCTGCTTGTAATCATAGGTGCCTTGTAGCACCTTCTTCTCTACCAACTGGAAAGGCTCACATTCCAGTTGCACCATCTGTAAAATTCTGGTTTTAGGAGTAGCCAATAGACTACATGCACAGGCAGGAAAAAAATCACTTGAATCTTGCAGCTACTCCTACACTCTGTGGGAAGAGTGTGGATCTTCCTTACAGTGGTCCTGGCTGCCCTTCTCAGAATTTAGATCATAATACAGATCATCATTGTAGACAAAAGTTTGGCTGTGGGAAGGGAGGCTCAGCTGAAACACTTGCTAGTATAAAATACATGCTGGTATGAAATACCTGCTAGCATGAAATACATGTTGGCATGAAATACATGCTGCTATGAAATATGTGCTAGCATGCAGTGTTAAGAAACAAGATCTGAGCAGACATTAATTCAGAAATGAATTTCAGAAAAACAAAACTTGTTTCCAAAGAACTGGACAAACTCACAGATTAAGCAAATTTCTCCATGTACCTGAACCCCCTTTTCATTAACAGTGTCAAAAACACCCTGTCATCATCACCCCTAGCTACTAATAAGTTTCCTGTTAATGTGTTAATTTTTCTCCTTTTGAGATATTTGGTTCAAAGCCACTTTGAAGTCATACTTTTGCAGGAACTACATGTTCTAATGCAGGATCAATGTTTTGGTCTACTTGATCCAGCTCATAGAGCTGCCCAAAAAGTGGCTTAGAAGCACGTATGAGAACCGCTGGCTTCAACACATCTACACTGTGTCCCCCCACCACAGTTTTTAAGCATACCACAAGGAGGAGAAGAATCTTGCACGTGAAAACCTACCCCAGTTAATTAAGGACCTTCCCATGAAGAGCTTTGTTTCTGGATTCCAGACAAAACGACGGAAATCTGCCATACGTTCGCTGCAGGTCTTCTTCTCATTTAAAGTTGCCATTTTCTCAGAAAAGTTCCCGAAAATATGTCCTTCTTGGAAACTAAGAAATTCAACCAGTGCCCAGACAGCCGACCAAGAAAAAAGCTTTGGGTTTTATACCTTCTTTTCCACTGAAGGTCACTGAGATTGCTTCCTCTGCCAATGAAAGCCCCTGCTCACCACTATCAACCTTTATAAATGGTGTTGATAGCGCTGGCAAGGGAAAGTTTGTTCCTATCAAATGCCCTTCTCCTTTCTCTTGACTACCTTAGCAGGTCAGCAGAGTTACGCATTTTGCCAGGTGCCCGTAGGGTTTGTGATATGCTCTGTGTGATAGCTGTTATCAGGGCAGATAAAGCAATGGAGAACTTGTTTCTCTCTGGGTTTTCTTTTTTTCCTTTTTTTCTGAGTAACCTGCAAGTAGTAGATACAGTTCTCTTACTACAATGTTTAGCCATTTGTTGGGACATAGGGTATTGCAGGGTGGATGGTTAGAAAATAAGTCATTATTTGTTAAATGTGCAACTCTTTTTGGGAGCTCTTTACAAGCAGATGGAAGACAAGAAGGTGGTTGAGATTTACTAAGGGTGCACCACGTCCACCAGTCTGTGAGAGAAGTGGACTGGTCAGCAAACATGGAGGCTTTCCAATTCCACATCACCCAGTTTGACCTCAGCAGAGCTGGTGACAGCAGCCAGGAGGGAAGCTGTGCTTTGGCTTGGGAAGAGACCATAAAGATTACCTAGTTCCACCCACCTTGCCATGGACAGGGACGCTTTCCACTAGACCACCTTGCTCAGAGATCCATCTGATCTGGCCTCAAACACTCCCACAGCCTCTCTGGGCAATCACTTTCATTGTCTCACCACCTTCACAGCAAATAATTTCTTCCTAGCATCTGATCTGCACCTGCTCTCCTTCAGCTTAAGGCCATTACCCCTTGTCCCTGAGCATGTAATAGATCTCCCCTGTTCCATATCACAAAAATCCCTGGTGGGCTGTCCTCCCCTCTTCCAAGGCACAGACCTGGGAATGCATGCAAAAATATTAATTATGTCTTCAGTGAGATCCAAGTGGCAGCATGAGGGGCTCAGAGGGGACCCTGGGCTATGTGCTGCATGCTGTGTATGTGGCCAGCCTGCTCCCAAGCCATGTCTCCTTCATGGACTGGTCCCCTGTCCCTCCTCTGTTTTGCAGCAACGAAGACCATGAAGAGAAAAGGGCCATCAAGAGCAGAATCTTCGTAAGTACAGGAGTTCTGAGTGCAGAAGTTTCCCATTAGGAACCTGTGGATTTTCCACCACCTTACAAACAAGCTGACTTGGAACTTGGTGAATTGCCAGATGCTTGGCATGGCTGAGCCATGTGCAGCTGTGACAAAACTGGGATTCTCCTGGAAAGTTTGTGCATGAGTGAAAATCAATGCTGCCTGCCTGAAGGGATCTATCAAGGTAGGATGGAGCCATTGCTATTCCATGGGCTCTGTTGAAGGGCTCCTGCATGCTGCAGTAATTTGTCAGGACACTTTTTACTGACCAGTGGCCAACTCTTCATGGCCCCACAGGAGGGCTGGTCTAAGTTCATTCTTGCTCTATAGTCCATTAGGATTCATCCAGTGCCCCCTTCCTCACCTGCCCCTGCAGGGCTGTCCATCAGTGTCCATCCCTGCCACAACGCCCTGGCCTTGTGGCCATGGCAGCCAGCCCCGGTCCCATTGCAGTGCCAACCCCTTGACCCAGAGCCTTTTGTTGTGTTTAATGTACCCCAAACTGCTCAGAGAGGGACTAATGTTTGCTTTCCTTTGCTGTTTTTAATGCCTGCACCACTGACCTTGGGCTGGCCACCAAAGGGAAGGACAGCAGAGAGGGAAGGTCACACAGGAGAGAGGGAAGGTTGCTCAGGAGCCTGGAGTGGCACAAGGCTGGAGGTGAGACTTGGCCAGGCACAGCCCAGGCATGGTGCTGGGCAGGGCTAGGCAGGATCCATTGCACTTTTTCTCTCTTGCTGACCAAGGCACCAGCAAGAAAAAACCTGGGCTCAGGGAGACCAAGAGGCTCCCAAAGAAACCATGGAGGATGTGTTTGCAAGGGTCACACTGCTGTGACCAGAGGTAGCTGAATGATATGTACAAACAAGGCAGTGAAGCCCCTTCCTCTTTCTGTGGTTTACACAATTAGCAATGTCAGTAATAAGCTTGAAGGCCACTTCTGCATCACTGTGCCTAAAAGGTTAGATCCAGGCTGAGATGTTATCCCTTGGAGATGTTGTCCTGAGCAGACCTGTGTGCTAGCACTCCTTGGCACTCCAGGCCTGGCTTTATCCCAGGCTCCTTAAATGCCACACCAGCTTGAACTGCTCTAAGTTCACCCAGTGCTGATTGGGAACTCGGTGTCAATGTTAATAAAACATTAACTTTGTTTACTCATGATAAAGCACTTACAGATTCCTCCCTCCTGCAGAGGCTGTGCAGGAGGTGCTGGTGGTGGGGAATACCAGAAGGGACAGGTCACTGCCTGCAGGCTCCCAGCACTGTGGTGGGGTCAGCCCGCAGGGGGGATCCATGGCCCTGCCTCTCCAAGCACCATGATTTCAGCCTGTCTCCTGAAGGAGGTGTGCATCCTGTGATATCTGGGTGACTCCCCAGTGTGCAGCATGGAGTGCATCAGCTGGGAGCAGAATCCATCCTGGTACAGCAAGATGTGGGGGAGGATGCATGGGCTGCCTCCCTCATGTACCTGGAGGTTGAACACTAGGCTGTCATCTTCCTTCCATGGTAGAAATTGTAGGGGAGGATGCATGGGCTGCCTCCCTCATGTACCTGGAGGTTGAACACCAGGCTGGCATTGGAAGTTCTTCTTCCTTCCATGGTAGAAATGAGGTTTATGCCTTTGCCTTTGTCCCAGGTCTGTCTTCCATATTAAAAAGTCAGAAGGTGACTGGACATGTCAGGCTTTCTCTGCCTTTCTCATGGAGAGGGCAAAAATTTCTCCTGAAAGATTTCTGAAATAAAAAATTTAGTATATAAGAGAATCCCAGTCCCTCAGACAGCGTGGCACAGTGAAGGACCATTCTTTGCATCCAGCTTTCTATCTGGTTTCAGAGTTTGAGGTGTGATTTTTTTGTGTGTGTGTGTTATGTTTCTTCCTTTGCTGCATTGTGTTTCACTAATAATCCCTCTCATTTGCCTCTCTCCTGTATTTTGCAGTTTGACAGAAGAAAACACACTGGCATTTTTTTTCAAGCTAGAGAGCACAGTTTTTCTGTGTTTGAAATAAAAACATCTGATCTGCAGCCTGAGCAATTCAGGGAAGCAAAACAGGGAAAATGTCTTGGAGTTGAACTGAACTAATGCTCCCACTGTTTTCAGCCTCTGAGAAAGCAATAATAGCAAGGAGGGGTATTGGCAATAGTGCTGTGCTGAGTTTATGATAGCACAGCATGGTCAGGCAGTGGAAAAGGCAAAGCAGCCTCTCTTCAGGGCTTGGCTGGTCTCTGCTTTTCTGTCCTGCTCTTGTTTGCCAAGGGCTGCAGACCCCACCATGAGCCTACCCATATCCCTCTGCTCACCCTCTGCCTCCTGGGAATCCAAAGGAAATTACTGCTGTGAAAAACTGCTAAACTGACTGCAAAAATAAACCTAGCAAAGCCCAGTGGTGTTTCTTTCAGTCATGGTTCAGTGCCAAAGCCTGCTGTTTTGGAGCAACTTACTACTGCTTGTGGTGTATTTCAGATGATGGCAAATAACAGGGTCTTTGGGAATTAAACATCCCATGAAACATCTCCAGCAGTTTGACCTCATCACCTTCCACTGAAGGGGTATCTCTGTCTGCACAGGCTATCACAGGCCATAGAGTTTCAGGTGGTGTTGCAAGAAAATAAGCCACACGCCCAGCTGAATGCCCACCTGCAAAGCTGCATCCTAGCTCTTATTACACTCAAAAATTTGTTTGTGGACAAAAGGGATGCTCATCAAGTAAAGCCGAGAATTTATTGACAACATAAATGAAATTTTAAGATATAATCATTATTACTCAAAATCTAGCTGCTACAGGAAAGAATAATGCATAAAAACCACACACACATTTTCAGCCTCTGCACTTTTTTCTTGATTTTTCTTCCTCTGTCCACTGCTTCTTGGGGTGTTAAGGTGGTGGGGCATTGTGGGTGGCAGGGACAGCCGAGGCAGGGACATCCAGAGACATCCCTCAAGTGGCTCAGCCTTCAAACCTGGATATCTCCCAGCCTGCCCTCACCGTGGCTGCTGTGGCACTGTCACCTTGTGAGACATGGCTCCCCTCCCCTCTTTTGCTCCTTCCTATATGCCTCCCTGCTTCAAAGACTGTTGAGATACTGCTTAGCCAAGCTATTAATAATTCAATAACTCTTCAGTCTTACTCCCTAAGCCACTTGCCTTAAACTCCTTTACTGACATTTTCTTTTGAACTCCTCCCAGCTTGTTTGTGGCTTGAGGGTAAAAAGTTGTCCAAAATTGAATGGTGCTCAAGATATGGCCTCACCAACCTCAAATCCTCTAAAATCCATGGCAATGTGCCTGCTGGCCTAAGTTTACTTTGGATCTGGCCTAAAGAGAAGAATACTGCTTTGTCAGCTGGGTAGCATTATGTCTCAGCATGAGCCACTCAAAATTACATATGGATTTTTTTTTTTTTTTTTGACACAGCCCTATTAAGTTGTATTTAGAGGATGTAACCTAGTGTCAGCCAAAGTGGACACTTCCTAGTGGAGCCTTGCCAGAACCTGGTGAGAAGATAACTGGTTTTTTGGTCACATATTCAGAACCTGGTCCCCAGCAGGCATGAAAAGCTCCTGCCCCACCCAACACCACAGGGAACCCAACCAAGGTAAGGAAGCCTGGAGCTGTCAGGGTTTCCCTGCACACAGCAGGTTTGCAAAGCCTTTGGCTGTGTTGGTTTGCATCTTCACTCTGCATCAGACTGTGCAGGGAAAGGTCAGCCCCAAGCAGGTGAGAAATCAATACCAGTGGAAAGCATTGTCTCAAG